GCACACAGCCTGGGGACACACGGGCACCCGCGCACAGCCCAGGGCGCACACGGGCTCACATGCACACCCCAGGGCGTACACGGGCGGGTGTGCAGGCATGCCCACCCAACACCGTGCGTGCAGACAGCAACATGCATGCACACATACACCATGCACGCATATGCCATGCACAGACGTGCATCGCCATGGGCACACACAGGCACACACATAGAGCTACCTGTGCACATGCTGTGCGCACACATGCTGTGGGTAGAGGTGGGCATGGGGAGCACGTGTGCTCACATATCGCCGTGGGAATGCCCACGGGCTGCACTGCATGCACACGCACCCATCATGCACACACACATCACTGTGCAAACAGGGGCATGCAGACAGAATGCTGCATGTCTACACTCATACCAGTGTGCAAACACACTGGTGCACACATGCTATACCCCGTGCATACATGCATCCATGAGCACACACCAGACCAGGTACGCACACACACTACCACACAAACACACCCCACTGTGTGCACTCCAAACATACACACACATCCCCCTGCACACACCCCCAGGTCACACACTTGCATGGCTGTGCACCACAGCTGCACACACCCCCATGGCACACAGCACCATGGGCCCCCCAGCACCACACAATGCACAAAGCAGGCACACAAGCACACCCACTGGCACACACTCGGGAGACACAGGCATACACCGACAGAGACTGCAAACACATAGACACAGCGTGCACACACACACGCTCACAGTCATGGGCACACACACACACACACACACACTGTGCATGCAGGCACACACCCGCACAGACACAGCACCATGGGCACGCACACAGTGCACGCTGTGCATGCATGCATGCTCACACAAGCACAGCACGCTCCTCCCCGCTGTCTACATGGGTCACTCTCAGCACACACAAGGGAGCAGTCCAAATCTGCACCGGTGGTGGGTGCAGCCTGGGTGCCCTGGGCAGCCTGTGACCCGGCCCCTCCATCTCCCCTGCACGTGCTCTGGGTGCTGAGCCCAGCTAACCAGCTCTATTGCCCCCACTCGGGGCCATCAGGTGGGCAGACAGGCAGGTACAAGCCCACCTCCACCTCAAGCACACCCATGCACATGCAAAAGGTGTACCTGGACCCATGCATAGGCACAAACACGCACACAAATTGTAGGAACGCCCGCACCACGGAGACTCACTCACACCGACATGCACCCACAGGTACACATATGCACACCCAGGAACACACAAAGCCAGGGGTGGGGGAGCTGGAGGGGCCAGAGGTGCACAGCTGACACGTTTGCAGCTCAGCATCCCAATGTGGAGATGGAGGATGGCTGGAGACATCCCTGAGGATGCGGGCAGCGCCGGGCAGGAAGCGCAGCGCAGGCTGTAGAAGATACCCCCTGCCTGGCAGGGAGCAGGGCAAAGGCTCAGTCGGGTCCCTCGCTGTGCTCCATTTAAGCAACGCGGCTGGCGGTGCCCGTGTCCATGCCGCCTCTAAGCCTTGTCCTCATGGCAAACCCCAGCGAGCCCCGGGCCAGTGCAGGGTTGCAGGTGCTCGCACGTCCCTGCGTGAGCGGTGGGATGCGGGGGCAGCTAAGCCGGGGTGCAGCGAGGGCTGTGGGTGCTGAGGGGTCGGGGTGCTGGGGGTGGTCATGCCGTTCCAGCATGCAGGGGTTCTCCCCACCCCATGGCCCCAGCGTGGGGGTCCTCGCTCGCTGGCGCTGTGCCCAAGCAGGGGGCTGTGAGGCAGAGGAGGGGCTGGGAGCCTGCACATGCAAAATGGCTCCTGTCGGTCAGCTGCTGTGCGGCACAGCACAGCCCTCACCCCCACACGGCCCCCAGCCGCTCAACCCAGCGCCCGGTCCTGCCCCAAGGCCCATCCCCCAGCCCTGCTGGGTGCAGGTCCTCTCCTGCCCCTCGTGTCACAGCATGGCACCGGGCACCTCTGCGCAGGGCACTCCCCTCCTCCTGCCTCCCCAGGTGACCTCCCCAGCCCCTTCCCCAGTAATTCTTCCCTTCTCCCATAGTAGGGCCTCCAACCCCTGCCCCAGCTAGCTCTGCACCCTCAGCTTGCTCCCACCCAACGCCCGGCAGGATTTTCCCTTCTTCCCACTCCACCCAGTCCCCAGGTCCCCTTCCTCAGGCATGCTCCATCCTCCTCTCCCATCCTAGCAAGCCGTCCCTCCAGCTACGCCACAGAACACACCCCTGGTGCTCTCGGGCAGATGCTTGCAGGAGGAAGAAGTGGTATTTCCTCCCAGACATCAAAGTCCTTGCACTGATTCACCCTGGCTGGAGACCTGTCGCCAGCTGGGGACATTCCTTGTGCTGTGAAAGGGCATTAGTGTAACAAAGGATCCCCCAGGGATTACCCAGCTCCTTCCTCTCGGTTTGACAGAAAATAGGATCCTGCTGGAGACCGAAATCCCAGCCCTGTGATAACAGCAGGATCTTGCCGAGGTCCTCCTTCCCCGTTTCGGTATAACCCAGATCCCCCATGCCCCATCGCCCCGGCGTGCTGAAGGCAGATCCCAGCTCCTGCCCCCCACCGCCCCCGGCTTTCTCATTGCGCTGCGTGCTCAGGGCCAGATGGCTGATTCGCTCCGTGGCTGTGTGCTCCTTCTCCTGCTCGGAGTCCCAGCTGACCACTTTGTTTGTAATAGTCCTCGGAGGGGAATTACAACCGAGTATTAAATGTGTGGTTAAAGAAATCGCATTACACAGTGTGGCTGTAAGGGAGATGTTTCCCTTTAATCTACAGATTAAAATGAAAGTTATTAGTTTAGCAAGTGGAGGCACGGCATTTCCATTAAGATATAACCCTGAGCAGACCCATGACCTCCGCGCGGGCTGCAGCCTGAGCCACGGCACAGCACCCCTCGCTCCCCGGTGCAGTCCTTGCTTCGCTGTTCCCGACTATTTGAATACCATTATTGTGTTTAACGTTGCAGAAAAGAAATGGAAAAAAAAAAAATCACGCTCGATGGCCGATGTGCTCCTGTGAAATAATGTTTGTGTCGTGTATCCTGTCCTACAGGTCTATGCAATATTAGTTAGCCACCCTCCTGCTCCCAACGATCACCTAACACCAACACCCGTATCATACACAGCTGGCTTCTACAGGATCCCTGTCATTGGTCTGACAACACGCATGTCTATATATTCTGATAAGGTAACTGATGCATGTTTCTAGTCTAGTACCTCATACATGTGGTGTAAATCAAGAGGGCCCCTCAGGAGGGTTAATGATACCTGCCTACCCTGCCTATCTCTGTGTCTGTCTGTCCATCCATCCTCTCCAGTTAAACCTGCAGCTCCCTCTCTCTCCACCATTCCCCCGTACATGATTTTTTCGCAGCTGCCAGTGTTGACCTACATAGTGCTGGATGATTTCTGCAGCGTTTCTCTGCCAGGCTGCTGGGCTCGCTGCTCTTCAGCCAAGGCAAATGCACAAACTAGCTCCTGCCCTGCTTGCTAGTGAGAGCTGGGGGGTCCTGGGTGCTCCCTGGGTGTGGGGGGCCTGTGGAGGGGCAAGGAGGACCCTAGTGGAGCCTGTACATCGGGCAGGAGCTCTCTGGGGCTTGAAGGTTGTTCGGTTGTGCTCACTTCTCTGGGTTTATGTGATATTGTTAGGGGAGGTAATAGAATTGACTGACAAGTTATCCCGAGGCTTTAAATGACATTCAGTCCAGCCAGCACTCAAGAAAGAGGTTTACATTCCGGTGTCTCAAACCACAGTCTGCTGTCCCTGCGGAAGCACGGAGACATTCAGGCTGGCTGAGGTCCTGCTGTGTGCAGGCGCTGGGAGCAATGCCCTGGCCTGGGCAATGAGATGCTGCCCTGGCCAGCTCTTCCAGCGGGCGCTCAGCTCACAACCCACCTGCAAAGACAGTTCAGGATCACTAAAAGCACAAGGAGGAGCTGAGCAGAGCCAGGCGGACCACACGCCAGTGCAGCCTCGGTGGAGGTTTGCGTCCAGGTGCATGAGCTTAGTGGATGAGATCAGGCCTGTTCCGAAGCACGAATCAGCCTTTGCTTGGAAAATGAATATTCACAAATGCAAATGTTCAGTGCAAAAATAGTCATTCCGCCTACACGCTAAAGGAAGTCAAATTTCAGGAGGGAGGAGCAGGGGCTCCCAGAGATGCAGCCCGCGAGACTGCTCGGCTGGAGCAGCAGCAGGTCTCGGCATCTCGCACCAAGTAAAACCATGGTAGGACACCAGCAAGCCAAGACCATGGCAGCGACGGCAGCGATGACTGGCAGGGCTGAGGACCCGCACACCCTGGGAGGGTCCCGTCAGGCACAGTCAGAAGGAAAGGGATGATAACAGAGCTGGCAGACCAAGGCAGAGGGCAGGCAGCAGGTAGGAAATGTGCAGGGGGACTTTGTTTCATGCTGCCGTGGGGAGGAGATGGGTCATGATCAGCAATGTCACAGAGAGGGACCTTGTCACAGTGCACACGATGGCGGGGAGAGGAGACCCTGCATGCTATCAGCCCAGCTTCATCTCAGCAGAGCCATGCCCACCCAGCTGGCCGCCTTTTCCACAGCACGACCTTGTGCTGAATTTGCGTGCTCACCCTGAGGGGGTGAAGGCTTCCCCAGCAGACTCTGCTTCAGACATTTTTTCCTGTTTAAAACATGCCTTCTGCAAAAGTGGTCCGTAAAAACGACCTGGCTCGCTTCCGAGCTGGAGGAGACACCCACCACAGCAGCGGCAGCCCACTGCAGTGGCAGGGCGATGCTCCCCACTGAATATTTGGGGTGTTGTGCAGGTGCAGGGCTGTGGGGAGCACTTGCCTGGCAGAGACTCGGCAGGGAGGCCACACTGCGTGTCTCACCCCTCCCAGCACTCCTGCCTGGCTGGCCTCATGCCCAGCCTGCTTCCCACCGGACGTCCAGGGGCTGGAGGACTTTGAGCACTATGCAGAGAGGGCAGTTGCAGGCAGGAGATGGGGCAAAGGCAGGGACTGGGTGCGTAGAGGAGTGAGGGCATTGAACAGTGGACTGGCAGCAGCTGGAGGGGACAGCAAAGGTGGGAGCGGAGTGGAGGACAGTGGAGCAAAATGGCGTGAAGACATGGGACAGGACGGTGCAAGGCTCTGCACACTCATGCAGGACAGGCTGGCTGGTGCAACACGGGGACATTCAGCTGGTTCTTTTTTTGGTTTCCAGTGATCAGCTTGCTTTTTTTTTTCTTTAATTCAGGAAATTATATCTTACAGCTTAGTTTCTATGGAAACAAGCTTGTAAAATCACTTTGTGTGTATGCCCCTGATTGGTTTTGAAGGCATCAGCCAATTTTAGCTAAATTTCACAGGGGGTTGAAGTCTCAGAGTTAATTATGGTCCTCCCAAGGCTAAGCTGCTGGGAAGAGAAAGGCATGCACCTCAGCACAGACAGGTTTGCTCAGTACCTTTTGATGATCTCGGGGCATCTCCAGTCGAGCACAGCGGTCCACAAGCTGTAGCCAATCTTTCAACAAAGATATCCAAGGGAAGCAAGCTTTACTGCTCCCAGTATTCAAAGAACTATTTGTTCTAGAAACAGTATTGCAGCTATCAAGCTGAGCACTCTGACTTGGCAGCTTTTGTTTGGCCTCCTTGTGCCCACATCTTACAAAACCATTACCTATTTCTTCACCGAGATCCTCACATCATTCAGCACAGTCCTGCCGGCACGGTGAGGGGGTGTCTGAAATCCCAGTCACCTCTGAGTGAGGTTGAGCAGAGGACTGCAGGAGGGGAGGGGAGGGTCTCACAGTAAAGGCAGCAGAGCGGTACCCATCACTGTGGTGTCCATCGCTGTGGTGTCCATCACTGTGGAGAGCCCTTCATGGAGTCCTCATGGACTGAGCATTGCAAAAATCATGCTCTGACCTTCTCCTGCTGGGCCCCCTGAACGGACAGGCTGGACTATTGCTTTAGTGCTTCTGTTTCCCATGTGTCATTGGGGTATTCATATCTCTTTTGCATCTCAGCTGAAAAAATGAGATGACATTGACATCTTGGCAATATGAGAAATATGAAATGACACGGACAGCGTGAGAGCAAAGCTCATGGGGAAATGCATAGCTCAAGAGCCACGAAGGTCTGGTGCCGTTCATCACCACCATGTGGGACCACACCTACGTGATGGGGATGAAGGGACATGTGCTGAGCCCCACACCATCCCCCGGCGGGGAGGCAGTGCAGGGGAGGATCAAGGGCAGTTCTTAACTGAGACCTGCTCTGCTGCTGAAAGAGATAGAAAATGGAGTTTAGTTGTTCTGCACTTGGAGAGCCATTTCAATGTCTGGCACCTGGTCCTGGTGGCTGAAATGAGGTCTATGTCTCCTTCTCTCTCCAGCCTGGGCCCGGGGATGGCTTTTCCCTCTGTTTCTTTGTCTCAGTATAATCACTCCATGCCCTCCCAGGGGTTACTGCTCACTGAGAGGGGTACTTTTCTGTATTACTGGTCTCACTGGCACCGATGATCAGCAGAATCGGTGTTAGTCAGCGTGGGAAGCAGCACTCGACTGAGGTCAGGGTCAGGACTCCTTCAGTGGCACCTGCAAGAAGTGACCAGAGAGGCTGGTTAACGTCATGTAGGGGCGTTTGCCCCGGGAATGGGTTTCACAGCCACCGCCGAGCAGCACAGCCGTCAGCAGGGCCGGCCTGCGGTGCGTCGGAGCCGATGAGGGGCTGACGCCTGTGCTGATGGCAGTGGTGGAGCCCACCCATCCCAGCAGAGGAGACCTCCTGACAGGCTCTCAGGATTCAAGCTGCGGGGAGGACAGAGCAGCCCCGCCACCCCACAAGGCTGCTGCTGCGGTGCTGGGCTGGTCCCCAGAGGTTGACAAGCCCTTTCCTCCATGCGCTGCAGGGAAAGGCAGATGATGCATTTGTGCCCGAGCTCCCCATAGGTCTGCCCCCACTAAAATCCCTCCCAGAACTCGCCTAAGCTGTTGCAGTTACCTCAGCTCCCTCCCACGCCTGCAGCTATCACGCGGGGCGGTGGGCAGGCTGCTTTCTGGTGGGGCTCAGCAACACGTGTGCTGGCTGGCGGGCAGGTTGAACAGAGCAGGGGACAGAGCAGCCCAGGCTCCTTCCATGGAGACACTGGCCAAGGCTTCTTTTCCATACCCAGATGATGATTTTTGTTAAATTATCGGGAACTTTATATACTGGGATCTCTGTCGATCTCCTTGAACTGCCTGGAGAGCTCAGTTTTGGAGTACGGTGCTGGAAGGGGGGCTGGCCACATGATTTCTGTAGGTGATGAAACAAAAGCACATCATTTACTCAAGCCTGTAGGAAAAATTACTCTACCAGCTCATGAGCTATGATGAGCCCTGAGGCAGGCAGAGGTAAAGACGACAGCGATCCTTTCACTCATGGACCTGTACGTGGTCCTCATGTGGACACACATGCACTGCCTGGTGGCCCCACAGCCATGCCTGCACGTGCCCTGTGCACGTGCACATCCCGCCCGTGCATGGCATGGCCACGTGCAGACTCTTTGTGCGCATCTATTCAAGCACCCAAGCACGTTTGCTGCATGGGTACATGCACACACATGCTTTCTGCAGGTATATGCTGACATTTATGCATACAGGGAGTCCTTGCTTTCACACGTGCATACACACACACACGATCCACTCAAACTCGGCTCCTCTCCACACTCACATCAGCCACGTCAGTACCACTAATAATTTGCAGTTCCTAAGAGTTCTGACCCAGCACATGTCCCCAGCCTCATAACCACACTCAGTCCCAGTGCATTTAGGCTCCAGCCCTTGGGTTTCTGCTGAGCTGATTCCACTTGGAAGCCTGGATTCCATCCCAACCGGTATTGACTGACTTTCTGCAGGAATAGAATTAAGTGAGGAAGCACAGGCTGAGCAGTCGGGTTCGGGTAGGATATAGGAATATATCGCAGGAAGTCTCTTCTGGGCTCAGGGCTGCTGTCAGCGATTCCCACGCTCACATCCCAGCCCTCCCGGCCGGCAGCAGGCACACTCGGCGGAGAGCAAATGATGTGAATCCTGCAAAACATCTTACAAGGCCAACTGCTGATTTGTAACTAGGAGCACTTTTTCCTGTGTGCCTGATCTGAGGGCAGCGGGTTATGACCCGTGGCAGCTCAGACTTAGAGCACTTGCCGCAGCCTGAGGGACAGTGCTGACGAGTGGTGCGGCTGACATGAGTGGACATACGGTGCTGGTTGTCTCACGGAGGCTGTGTTGAAGAATCAGGTCTTTAGAACAGTTATTTGCCTAAAAATGGGCTAACTATGATGCATAAATCATTGCATCCACATACTTTGCCGTACAGCTCCATGTGTCCATGTGCCGCATGGCCAGGAAAGTTCTGTGCTGGGTTTCGGAGGGATTTACCAGAGACCTGTGGGAAGTCACCGTGTACGCTGTGACGGGGTCACCAAATCGCACAAAACCTGGTTCTCAGCTGCCTCTGCACATCACAAGTTGGACTTGTTAACCTTTGGGGGACTTTTCTTTCATTTTTCCACCAATCTTTGGGCCCTGCAGAGGAGTTCAGGAGTCCCAGGTGCTCCGAAAGCTGAGCACAGAATGCAAGTGCTCATCCTGAAATCTACACTCAGCATTTGCGATTAGTCATTCTTCGTTATCCTATTTAAAAACTACAGTTCTGTAATCCGGGAGCTGAGATGCCATCATAGCAAGTCCATGACCCTTTTGACACCACCTCAGAAAGCAAATTTGGCCAAACTCCTAAACCAAGTTGGTCTCCAACAACTTTGCAGTAAAATTTGTTCATCTGAACCTAGCGATATATATTTACACTAAAGAAAGGCATGATCAGTTTAAACAACATTTTTGCAAGCTAGCTGGGAAACTAGAAAATAATTTGATGCCATATATTGAAATTTCAAAGATGTTTTCATTTCAAAAAGGTATTGAAGTAATTTCAAGTTAGAATTTTGATGTATTTTTCTGATTTTTTTTTTACTATTAACTATTCTGTTCTTTTTAAAATTTCTTTCCTCTCTTCTGATTTTGTGTTTTCCATTTCCATTTTCCCTGGGTTTCTTTAAACCAATTAAAAATACTCAGGGATTAAAAATTTAAAATGCTCAGACCCATATTGTGCGCCCCTGGCCCAAGCTGTGGAGCTGCACCTGGAAATACCTGGGCACCTCTGCTGACTCCAAAGAGAGCTTGAGCACCGTGTTGGTGTGGAGCCCGTAGTTGTCCTTCCGTTGTTTGTCCCTACGGGGCTTCTTCCCGATCTCCTTGACTAGTACTGGGCTTGTGGGGTGAGCTGCGTTTCTCTTGCTCTTCGTGTAATCTTCGTGTATGTACCAGTCATACAAAACCGCCGCTCTGAGACGCTTGCTACGGCTCTCCTGGTTCGTTTCCTCCTTTGATTAAATATCCACAGTTCTTCTCAGTCTCTTCAGTAACTAGGAAATATTTCCAGTGCTTTGGTGTTTTTGCTGCTGCCTCCATCACTTCTGTGTTTTGGGCCAGGGCTCAGCAGAACAGAACTGCTGTCCCGGGGACGGACTTGACCATGACAGGGGTTTTGCACTATTTTCTATATGTTGCATGGTTCGGTTTGACGTTATCACCATGCTGAGTGTGAGGAAAAGACATTATCTGGTCTGCCTGTTCCTCCTGCACAGGTCCCTGGTGGACATGACACCTTTTCCCATCCAGCATGGATTACTCTGGCCCTTTCAGGACATTTTTGACCTGTGCTGGGTCTGGTCTCTGGATGAGCAGGTCTGGACATGCCGTGTTTGGTCCAGATGACCATCTCAGCCTTACAAAAAGAAATATTATGGTGCTTTCCCTTTTGTCCTCTCCTGTTCAGACTTGTGCCTTCCTCCAGCATGTAGCTGGTTTCTCAAGTCGCAGCCAATGCTGAGCATAAGCACTTTCATTTTCTAATATTTCACTCTAGGGCCTTTTGGAAAAGCTGCATTTTTTGAAACCTCTCTGTCAGCTACAGATTTTGGTCCAATTTCTCCCCTAAGAGTGCTGTACTTAATTAGGCTGGAACTGCTATTGCTCAGTCATCCAACCATAATGATGTCTTTAACCAAATCAGATAGGTTAGCTGGGGCATGAGTCCAGGGCTGCCTCCTGTGTGCTGCTGCAGAACAAGCTGACCTAGAAACAGCCAAAGAGCAGAGTATAAAACTGCTTTTCTGAACCTCTCTCATGACAAATAATTAGTATATACCTGTGTGTACCTGCCGCTGTTCCTTGTTGCTCTCTGAAGGGAATTTGTTTTCTTTTTGATGTCCTTTGCTCTGTAATATTTTCAAAAAGTCAAGAGAAAAGGCTATGTTTGCGCTGAACGTTGCTGAGAGTTAGTTGCTGGATGGGCTTTTCTTCACCACATGTTTACAGACCACAGAGTAAAAAACCCCTCTGCCATGCGCGGGATTAACCACAGAGAGGTACGAAATGGTAGCCAGGGTTTGCTTCTCCGCCAGAAGAAAGGAGTGCAGGTCCCAGAGGCTAGCTCCAGGTGTGCAAACCAGAGGTCTACTGAAAATTGCTGCTCTGCCTCTTTGCCCTTGCGATCCCAGTCCCGTCCCTGCAAACCTGCCCGGTCCCCGCGATGCACCCTGGCTGATGACCCAACCAGTCTATGTTTAGTTCTTGTTCTTCCTTGCAGAGCATCCACCTGTCCTTTTTGCGCACGGTCCCACCATACTCTCACCAGGCCAATGTCTGGTTTGAGATGATGAGAGTCTTCAACTGGAATCACGTCATTCTGATAGTCAGTGACGACCACGAAGGTCGTGCTGCACAAAAGAAGCTGGAGACCCTCCTGGAGGAGAGAGAGTCCAAGGTCAGTTCCTGAACATTGTCTTGTAGCTTTGTTTAAGCAACAACAACAAAACTAGAAGTCTTGGGCTGTTGTATGTATGTAGATTTCTGTATGTAAAACACCTTTTCTTTCCATTGTAACATGGCTAACATGCTTAAAGCATCAACAGTGTCTGACTAGTACCTGACAGAACTTTGTACTTTATTCATTTCACTTGCTTTGCCATGGTCAAAATCTCCTACATGTAAATCGACTACAAAATGAAGGGAAGGATAACCTGGAGCTCTGCAAATGCCTCGCCCAAGATTCCCACCTAAGGAGAGGACCAGTCGCTCAGCTTAGGGAAGCACCTGCCCTGTTACAGCCGCCCAGGGGCCAGGCAGACCCAGCAGTGCCAAACCAACCCCGAAAAGCAGCTTCTGAATTGGCTAAACGGAGCTCACCTTAGCGGCTTAGGAGGGGCAAGGGCAGCCGGCGCGTTGGTGCACGGAGGTATAATGCACCCTCTCTATAAAGCTGTCAGCTCTGCGGCTGCAGGCTGACGCCCCCGTTCCCATCTCCATTGAAGCACATGCCAAACGCTGCTTTCCTGACACCCCATGCTGTTACAAGAGGGCGGTTGTGGCTGGCGGGAGCAGCTTTATCGAGGAGGTGCACTGCACCTGCACTCAGGGCCACCCGGGGCAGCAGGGAGGCAGGGCAGGTCCCCGAGCCTGCTAGAAATTCAGAAGGACTACCATAGACCTGCTGCCGTTGAGTAAAAGGACCGAGCAAGCGTCCAAGCCAAGCAGGGACGAGCACAGGGAGTCACTCAGCTGCAGTGCTCGACAGGCAGGTGCCTGTCTGGAAGGCAAGGAACGACCTCCTGCCCTACGGGGTGAAGTCCCAGCATGTCCTCCTGCCCAGGGCAGGCTGAGGTCCCCTTCAGGTGGGCAGAGTCCGAGCCCGCCTCCAAGTCTCCAGCAACATCAGGGCAGGCACCCGTTCCTGGCTGCTCCCTCCTGGGTCACAGGCAGGGACCACAACCTGCTCTTCTCCAGCCCCACCAGCAGCTGCTGGACATTTGGCAGTTGGCTGTTGAGGAGATGTGGCCATTCGTGTGCTTGGAGTTGGCAGCTGAACTGAGAGACCAGTGAGAGCAGCCGGCCACTGCTCTTCATCACCTCTTGTCAAGCCACTGGAGGAACAATGGTGCAGCGGTGCAAGCTAGCACAAGCCACACTGACCAACAGGCTTTTGGCTTTGGTGGTGGTTTCCAGGAAGTTTCATCCTTGCTGCATCCTAGGCCATCAGGAAACACTGGTGTGCCACCAGCCATGGTGAGATCCTCCTGCCTCCGAAGGCAGCTTCCCGCTGGGTGGCAGCAAGCCAGTATGTCTCCCCAAAGCCTCTTCCCAGTACAGTGTCTCTCACCCAGGGAGGGGTGGAAAGGTTGTTCCCACTGCCAATCTGTCGTCCTTCTCCTTGCATCTTTTGATTTCCACTTTCTGTTTTCCTGCAGCTTCTGTGCATCTCCTTTTGCTGCTCCCTCTCATGCCTCCACTCCCTGCTTGCTCCATGCAATGCTCCCAGACACAGGGTGTATTTCTTCTTCAGCCTGCCCATCCTACAGGAAAGTCTTTGAGATCTGGGGTTTGAAAGGAGGAGGGAAGGTCTGAACGCAGGCCCGCCCCACATTTGCACTGCATCTACAATACGTCTTGGTGTTCCCTGGCAGCCACTGGGCTACTGCAAATGTCCTGGCCATCCTCCAGCCTGGGGCACGTGCTCTGTGATGGTAGGTCACCTTGACCTCCCCGTGGGGTGCACCACTGCATCTTGTTCCTTTTTCTTTTGAGGAGCTTAGTCTGGTCAAACTGATTGGTCTGACTGGTCTTGAAGGTGGTAGGTACCCCTGTTGTGGTTTTCCTGTCTTCCTCAATCTCTTCTGCTGTCTAATGGCTCTTCTAATCACCGGTGTGCTGACTCTCTTCATGCCGTGAAGTGGTATCCTGGACCCCTGCCCAACCTCCTCAAGGGCAGCCTGGGCCTTGGGGAGAGAGCAGGCAGGAGACCTGCTCTTAACCTCTTCAAGGCTTGGATCACAGCCCCTGAGGACCTGGGGGATCTGCTATGGGTCAGAGGCTCACCTGCCCACCTGAGCTCTTGGATCTGACCATGGCTCCTCCTCTGGAGGCTGCGCCGGCCCTGGGTGTCACTCAGGCACCATTGCATGGATTTGCACTTCAAGCAGGTGTTCGGAGCCCAGCACTTGGGCCAGGCTGGCTAGCCCTGGCGCACCCCCCGTGCTAGCCTTGTCTTGGGTCTGCCTGCAGTAACTCTCAGCCTGGAGCTACTGCTTCATCCCAATACAGCTCTGCTCATTCCTCTGGGCAGGCCACAACTGCACCCACGCTGCTCGGGTGCCAGATGCTGTGAAAGTCAGAGTTGGTCCATGACAGAGGTGGCAGGTCCCTGGTGTGCTGGCTCCCTTTCTCTGGGACAGTGGCGCTCATGAAAGTGGTAATTTTTTGAGTGAATGCTGGAGAACATGGTGGAAAGTTAATTTTGAATTTGTGGGTCCCTGTGTGAAACATGGGCTGAGAATCAGGGAAGGGCTGCAGGACCACACAGAAAAATAGGAGAGAGAGGACACATCACTGGTCTAGTTCTGGCAATAGGGATAGAGACAGCGAGAGGCCGAGGTGATCGGGTGCCATAAGGTCCAGCTTTGCTGCACCCAAGACTCTGCTTCACTTTGTTGACCAGCCTGGGTCCAGGCACCAGCACATCCCAGGCACATAAGGTGATTTGTGGCTGGAAGCTGCAAGATGGATGACCAACTTTCTGGCTAAATTGAGAATGCCTGGGGAAAAGTGGCCAATATCTCATCACTGGAGAATATTCATGCTGTCCTGCTGCAGCTCTGCTCTCCTTGGAGGCAGTTGTTACTCCAGGTCTCACTGCGCTCTCAGCAGACTCTAAGAGGCCATTGGAGAAATCCTCACCATGGACGTCATCAGAAGTGAAGGCAGACCTGGGCTCCAAGCAGATTTTGCCTCTTCAGATACTTTCCCTTGCAAGGACTCAACTTCTTTGAGCAATGAAAAACCTGTCAGGCTGTGCCCAAGGAGAAGAAAGGAAAGATCACACAGCTGCACAGAAAGGAATCCTGGCAAAGTGTCCTGCCAAAGACTGGTCTGAGTGCTCAGGAAGAGGCAAGCTATTTAGTTTGGAAAGCAAGATGCAGAGATAAAACCTAGCTGCCTAAGGAGCAACCTGGGAACATGAACCCTTGCGTTACCGGGGTGCAAAGGTCGGGTTCCTGGCAGGGATCAGTTGCCACTGCCATAAGATGCTGCGAAATGGAGATTGCAATAGAGCCGTGTCCTGTACTCCGTACACACAGATCAGGGATGCCCAGCTGGGGTGGGACGGGGCCAAGAAGAAGAGGTCAGACTATGTCCCACCAAAACCTGCCAAGCACTATCCTGCAGGCACTATCAGGTTGATGTTATTGGCCTGACCACAGGGGCTGCTCCCACGAAGATCCACGGAGCTCTGTGCATGCTGCTGCAGAGTCAAGGCTCCTGAGAGCAGAGGCTGTTGACCCTCAGCACGCTGCCTGGAGGAGAGGAAACCTCCAGAAGTAGGTTTCATGCCCCTGGCCCCTTTGGGGCCAAGCAGCAGAAGTGGCTCAGGCAGGAGACAAGGGGAGGAGCAGGCTCTCTGCTCCGGTCCGTTATCTGCAGGGTCAGTGCACGCTGACCCACCTGCCCCTAGTCCAGATGCGATGCTCCAGCCAGCAGCATGGAGACCACCAAGCAGTGAACCCCACTAGCCACACGTAGGGCCAAGTTATGGGCGCCGTGGTCTCCAGCAGCTGCACCTCCCAGGGCCACCGGTGCGCCGCAGAGCCACGAGGTATTCTCAGCCCTCCCCAAGCACCAGGTAAAAGCTGCAGTGTCATCCCATGATCACCATTGCTTCATATCGCCACGCTTTGAACCAACACGGGATGTAGAGAGCTTTTTCTTTGTCTTTTGGATGGCAACAGAGCTCCAAAAAGCTGCTACCTCCTTGCAGGAGGTGAGAAGTTCAGCTGAGACACCTCACTTGCTGTGAACTCTGTTAGGTTGAACAGGATTCTAATGATAATAGTGACAGTAGTAACGCTAATACTCTTAACTGTAACAGTTTGCATTTATCCAGCACTTTCCGTACACAACATTTTGTCCTTTACTTCCACAGTAATTCCATGGAAATCCCACCACTTAGGCCCTTAGAGATGCGTAGATTGCTTCTGAGTTTAAGATAAAAAATTCTTGCTGAAGAATTCCCTAGTCCCACAAGGAAAATGCAACTGCACCACAACAGCTGTGACACTCAGGCTTGCTCTAACCGATACGGCTTTGCACCCTGATGCTCCCGTGAGAGCTGAGGCACTCTCTCCTGATAGTGGTTTTTGCGAGCTCCAGCGTTATAGAGACCCTTTAGCAAACAGTGGAGGAGGAGGTGGATGTTGGATTGCTTTACTACACGTCATTTTCAACTGTTTATAATATTCTTCTGTGTCTACATATTTTCTCTGTGCACATTATTCATCAGAGTAAAAAAAGGAACTATGAAAACCTCGACCAACTTTCCTATGACAACAAGCGAGGACCCAAGGTATATATGCATGGAAATGCACGCCGCCCACCAACCTAACTAGCAAATGAAAAATAGCCACAGCCACCAGAAAAATAAAAAAGAAAAAAAAAAAGAGAAAGAGAAAAAAAGAAAAGAAAAGAAAAGAAAGAAAAAAAAAGATTCCATGACTTTGTTCCTTGGTAGCACGTTTTTATGTTGAGATAGTTTGGTTTGGACTTGAGAATGGAAACCTAGCCAGCTGACCCTGGAAGGATTTCTTTTTGAAACATGCATGTGAACCAGTAATTAACTTGCAAGTTTTTTTTTTTTTTTTTTGGAAAGTTGAACCAACCCCCTTTCCTCCCCAAAGGAAACGGTTCCTTGGTGTAAGTTGCTCACTTCTACTCCCAAAGGTTAACCCTGTGCAATATGTTTTTTTCATTTCCCATGTTTTTGAAAAACAACACTCGTTTGAGTTTTCAATTGCATTTCAAAGCCTTTTTCTCTTTCCTGTACAATGCACGCCTCTTTTTGGGTCTTGATTGACTTCAGTTTGCATGCACAGTGCAAAAAAAGATACCAAAAAAGCCAAAACCTTAAAGGAAAGGAAGGAAGGAAAGAAAGAAAAGAAAGAAAAGAAAAGAAAAAAGAAAAAAAATAGCTATAACCAACCTTATTTAGCAGACTTTTGTGCAGTTTAATGAATTCTCTTGACCCTTTTCTAGATAGCATGGCTCTCACAAGCAGTCCTGGGGCTCCCACACTAACCAGCTTTGCTCACACTAATCACAGGCTGAGAAAGTCCTTCAGTTTGACCCCGGAACCAAAAACGTGACGTCGCTGCTGCTGGAGGCTAAGGAGCTGGAGGCTCGTGTCATCATCCTTTCTGCCAGGTAAGGCAGAGCCATCCCTTCCCCTCCCTGCTCTGATTTCCCCACTCTCCCTTTCGCAGCGCTGCCGAGCGCTGGAGCCAGTGCAGATTTGGGGCTCGTCGTCCTCTCAAGGAGTGTGAGAGAAAACCCACATAAAGCCCCACGTCCCAGGCAGGTGGGGGGTGCTGTGCTGTGTGTGCTGCTGGCCGGCGAGCTTGCAGTCATGGGCATGGCTGAGATGTCTGGCTGTCCTGCAAAGCGTTGGGAGCTGCAGAAGCTGCAGGAGTTACCGACGGTGCATCCTGATCCACCTGTGAAGGAGGGGAGTCTTATTGCCCCCACGCCTATAGACGGGGAGCGGTCAGGGATGGGCCAGATTTGCAGAGGCTCAGCAGTGCTGGGTGATGAAGCTGAGAGAAAGGTTCCCATTGCATCAAGGAATTAGCCATTGCCCAGGAGAACCAGTTAGCAGAGGAGGGCTGCCTGGGGATGCATTTTTCCTGGTGCTGCCACCCCGTTGGGATCTGATACAGGAGAAAAGGGGCCATCTGGCACCTGGAGCCACATTGCCGTTCCCTTCTTCTCGTTGCAGTGAGGATGATGCGGCCACGGTGTACAGATCAGCAGCCATGCTCAATATGACGGGCTCCGGCTACGTGTGGCTGGTGGGGGAACGGGAGATATCGGGCAATGCCCTGCGTTACGCCCCTGATGGTAGGCACCCACCGGAGGCACCCGTCCTGCTGTCAGCCAGGCTTGGAGGAGCCTGCTCAGAGCTGGGACGAGCGGCACCTGCCCTCCCGGGGACCCCTTGGGCTGGGGGAACGCGATGCCATGGTGGTCCCAAGCCAGCGGAGGGTCCCACACATTGCTCTCCGCTCCCTTTGCCCACACGGGGAAACAGCAGTCCGGCAGCCTCGGCCACGCTGCCATGCCCCAAATCCAGCTCACTGGCGCTTTGCAAGCTGACCGTCACCGGGGGGGAAAGGCTTGGGCGACGCAATGGGGATGGGGCACAGGGTCAGCAGTCCACGT